CTCCTCACTCTCTTCTCTCCTTCTTCACTCTTCTCCCTCTCTCTCTCTCTCTCTCTCTCTCTCTCTCTTCTCTCCCTCTTCTCTCTCTCTCTCTCTCTCTCTCTCTCTCCCTCTTCACTCTCTCTTCCTCCTCACTCTCTTCTCTCCTTCTTCACTCTTTCTCCCTCTTCACTCTCTCTCCCTCCTCACTCTCTCCCTCTTCTCTCTCTCTCTCTCTCTCTCTCTCTCTCTCTCTCTCTCTGTCTCTCAGGTGGGCGTTCACTCTGATCATCATCTCTTCGTACACGGCGAATCTCGCGGCGTTTCTCACCGTTCAGAGGATGGAGGTCCCCATCGAGTCTGCGGACGACCTCGCCGACCAGACCAACATCCAGTACGGCACCATCCACGGAGGCTCCACCATGACCTTCTTTATGGTACTGCACCCAGACACCCCCCACACAACCGTACACCCAATCACGATTATAATACAGAATAGAAGAGCGGCTCTTAAAATGCCAGGGTCACTCTTCACAGCAGGATTTCCCAAAGTGGGGCCCGTGGGCCGAAGTCGGCCCTCCAGGGAGTCTACTTTATCTCCAAACACGTGCTGAGATTTGAAAGGAATATTTCTTTTGAATGGAAAACAAAATGTTAGTAGTTTCAAATAAAACCAAACAAGATAATTCCCCAAAAAGCAAAATAACTGATGACAATTTCATCTTAAATTTCTTTGCTTTCAAACTTTTATATACAAAACATAATCAGGTTTGGCTCTCAGCACGATAACGCTTATTAATGCTGGCCCGCCAAAGCAAAACGTTTGGGCGAAAATAATGCCAACAAAGAAGAAAACACAATGTTCACGAGTGTGTGTCTCTGTGTGTGTGTGTGTGTGTGTGTGTGTGTGTGTGTGTGTGTGTCGTGTGTGTGTGTGTCTCTGTGTGTGTGTGTGTGTCTCTGTGTGTGTGTGTGTGTGTGTGTGTGTGTGTGTGTGTGTGTGTGTCGTGTGTGTGTGTCTCCTGTGTGTGTGTCTTGTGTGTCTGTTGTGTTCCAGAACTCTCGGTACCAGACGTACCAGCGCATGTGGAACTACATGTACTCCAAACAGCCCAGCGTGTTTGTGAAGAGCACCGAGGAGGGCATCGCCCGGGTCCTCAACTCCAAGTACGCCTTCCTCATGGAGAGTACTATGAACGAGTACTACCGCAGTACCAACTGTAACCTGACCCAGATCGGAGGGCTGCTGGACACCAAGGGCTACGGCATCGGCATGCCCCTGGGTAAGAGCAGCGTTAAACTGGACCATACAAGGACACGGGTCTGCATTTGACCCATCACATCTGACGTCATCTTCAGACACTGAAAGTACAAACGAGTCCTTGTCTCTCCCAGACCCTGTGTCACATCTCCAGTATTCACATCCATGAGTTTTCACACACATGTGCAGCTTCAGAACAGCTTTTTTGAACAGAAAGGTGAAGCAGGTGGACCACCCTCACAGCCAATCAGCTCTCAGCACAAAACCAAAGCGTCATATAGTGACTGGTTCTTGTGTTTGTGATCAGTGACGTGTTTTATAATCAGACCCTGTCAGTGTTTGTTTGCTCACAAAGTGCTGCTGTCCCCGTGCGCTCTGAGGGGAAAACTGCATTTACTGTGACTGAAGTGCTTCTGCAGTGTGAACGCCTCCGGGCACGACGCAGTGCCTCTCCTTTAGAGACGTGTGCAGAGATTTTAGAGACGTGTGCAGAGATTTATGGAGAAAATCCATCAAACACTGGACAATATGAAAAATCCACACAGACATTCCAACATTTGGGATTCTGCTGAGGCCAGGAGCTGAAACTCCAGATGTGAGGAGGTGATCCTGGATAAACGTGGGTTCATATAAATCCTGCCACTGTCACCTGAGTAATTAACTTTACCTGTCCAGCCAGAACCACACACACCGAGACCAGAGGGTCTGGAGCTGTGTCTCCCTGATCCCACAGAGCGTGACAGGTTTAGTCAGGACAGTGGTTTCCGTGCTCTGTAGTGCCATTACAGACTCTTCTGGATTCAGACCGGCTGTAGAAGGGACTGGCGGCTCAGGCGAGTTTCAGGTCGTCTTGTAGGACAGATGTATTTGCATTGCACTTTTATAATTACCAACACTGCCCCTAGTGGTGCAGGGAGGAGCCACAACCACCTCCTGACCCTTGTGTTAGATCCATGCACATAGTCAGAAAGTAATTCAAGTATTCAAGTTTAATCACACAATACAATCGATTTTCTTTAAAGCAGCTCTGCAAAATGGACTTGTTTGACTTTTTTTTGAGTCCTAGACTTGGATGTAGACAAATTTTATTGATCCAAAAGGGAAATTATTTAATTATCGCTTAATTTCATAATACCAATTTGTCAATCAACCCTCCACCGGTACACTCCCACTGTGACGTACGCACTTCTTTCTCCAGTTTGATGAGGTTTACGTTAACGTCTAAGTCAGCGCACTTGTTTCTTTTATTAAATTGTTTTGTTAAATCATTTCAGGTCAATACTGAAATGTAAAATGTCCAAATTTTAACAGAATGATCCACAAGTGTCATAGATCATAACCATAGAGCACAAACAAGCACAGGCATTATGTCTGCTTTAAAGCCTGAGCATCCTTACTGTGAGCGCCTTTCCACAGAGCTGACCTGTAAACTTGCTGACATCGCTATTACTCAGGGTCCCTCCACCAGAAAAGTTACACAGTGCAGCTTTAAACTCTGATGTGAAGAGCAAATATTGTTCACATTTCATTCCAGTGTGTGACAGTAGGTTGTATAGTTTGTCTTTTTTTCTCTCTCTCTCTCTGTCCTCTTCCCCCCCTCCTCCTCCTCCTCCTCCTCTTCAGGGTGGGGCCGTGTGCCGGGGCGTAGTGTCCCTGACAGGGCCCTCGCGCCGCCCTGTAAAAGCTGCGGGACGTCAGCAGGGGGCACACTAACGAGCGCCAGCTGAAATATGAGCGTCTTTAGTGTCAGCGCCTCAGAGCTCCATCATGTTTTACCTTGAAGGAGCCGAAGCCGCTGTCGGACGGCGAAAGTCACGCACACGCATCCGGAGAGATAGAGAGAGAGGAGAGAGGGAGGAGAGGGAGTGGAGAGGCAGAGAGAGTAGAGGAGAGAGAGAGAAGAGGAGGAAAAGGGTGAGAGGAGAGAGAACAGAGAGGAGGGGAGGCGAGAGGAGGTGGAAATGCAGAGAAAGAGGGTGAGGAGAGAACAGGAGAGGAGGGTAAAGAGGTGGAGAGAGGGAGAGAGAGAGAGATGAAAAAGAAGCAGGATGATGAAGAGAGATGATGAAAGAGAGAGAGAGTGATGAGTAGAGAGGTGGGAGAAGGAGATGAGAGGAGAGATGTGAGTGTGAGTGAGTAAGGTGTAATGGAGAGAGGAGGGATAAAGAAAGAACGAGTGAGAGAGCGACAGAGATGGGTGAGAGAGGAGAGGAGAGAGTGGTAGAGCTGGGTGAGAGAGACGGAGGAGAGGAGGATGGAGTTTAACGGGGGCTCCACCGGTGGATTACGGCGACATGATGAAGTGTCAGACTTGAGTTTCATGAAGCTCCAAATCTCCTCAGTAAAAGTAGTGAGGCGTGTCACCGCCCCGAGGCACTCAGGCTCCGAGAGCGAGGAAGAGGAGGAGGAGGAGGAGGAGGAGGAAGGAGAGAGGAGGAAGGGGAGAGGAAGAAGGAGAGAGGAGGAAGGGGAGAGGAGGAGGAGGAAGGAGAGAGGAGGAGGAAGGAGAGAGGAGGAAGGAGAGAGGAGGAAGAGGAGGAGGAAGGAGAGAGGAGGAAGGGGAGAGGAGGAAGGGGAGAGGAAGAAGGAGAGAGGAGGAAGGGAGAGGAGGAGGAAGGAGAGAGGAGGAAGAGGAGAGGCGTGTCAGGCTCCAAGTGTGAGAAAGAGGAGGAGGAGGAGAAAGAGGTGGAAAGGAAAAGAAGGGGATGAGGAATAGAAAGGAAGAGGAGGAGAGAGGAGAAAGGAGGAGAAAGAAAGACTAGAGAGGAAGAAGGGAAAGAGGAGAGGAGGAGGAGAGAGGAGGAGAGAGAGGCATGTCACCGCCCAGAGACACACGAGGAGGAGAAAGAGGAAGAGGTGGAAAGGAAAAGAAGTGGATGAGGAATAGAGGGGGGGAGGAGGAGAGAAGGAAGGAGAAGAGGAGAGGAGGAGGAGAGAGGAGGAAGGGGAGTGGAGGAGAGAGAGGCGTGTCACCGCCCCAAGACACGCTCAGGCTTCAAGTGTGAGGAAGAGGAGGAGGAGAGAGGATGTGAAGGTGGAGAAGGAGGAGAGAGGAGGGAGGGGAAGAGGAAGAGGAGAGGAAGAGGAAAGATAAGGGAGGGGGAGAGAGAGGAGGAAGGGAAAGAAGAGAGGAGAATGAGAGAGAGGACAGGAGGAGGAGGAGGGAGGGGGAAGAGAAGAGAGAGGAGGAGGAGAATAGGAGAGGAGGAAGAGAGAGGATGTGAAGGTGGGGGAGGAGGCAGGAGGAGGAAGGGAAAGAGGAGATGAGAGGAGAGAGGGAGGAGAGGAAGAGGAGAGAGGAGGAAGGGGAAGAGGAGAGAAGGAGGAGAGAGAGGAGGAAGGGAAAGAGGAGATGAGGAGGAGAGAGAAGAGGAAGGGAAAGAGGAGAGAAGGAGGAGAGACAGGGGAGGAGGAAGAGAGAGAGGAGGAAGAGGAGGAGGGAAAGAAAGGAGGAGGATTGGAGGTTCCATGTGACGGGAGCATTTGTCTTTGACTTTGGCGTGTTCTGTCCCTCAGGTTCTCCGTACAGAGACGAGATCACTCTGGGCATCCTCCAGCTGCAGGAGAGCAACCGTCTGGAGATCCTCAAGAGGAGGTGGTGGGAGGGGGGGCAGTGTCCCAAAGAAGAAGACCACCGCGCCAAAGGTACGAGACCCCCAGTGTGCCAGGAGAACCTGGCCATGTTTACATTTGTCCTGGTTCAGATCTCGGGTTAGAGAAGACTTCTACAACGTCTACGAGTCTGACATGGAGAGTGTTACTTCATGTCAACAGCTGCATGGCTCTTTTAATGTCTTAAAGGTTGTATAGAGGATTTTCCAAGGAACGAGAAATCCAGCGACTGTTTGTCCTTTTTTCAAATGTTGCGCATGCGTGAAACCCCCCACAGCTCCCTACGTAGAAACGCCTCCTCCCGCCTCCTCCTTACGCCAGAAACAGGTTTGTTTACAGCCGGTGTGCTGCACATGACTTGTAAACAACTAACTACAGTGTTGGTTAGGCAAGGCGGAGAAGTGAGGAGCGGGGGGGAGGGGGTGCGCGGATATTTCGTGCACGGAAAAGAGGTGAGGAGCAGGGAGAAGAGCGGAGCAGGGAGAGAGGAGAGGAGAGAGGAGAGGGGAGCGGTGCGCGGAGATTCCGTGCGCGGAGATTCCGTGCGCGGAGATTCCGTGAGGAGCAGGGGGAAGAGCGGAACAGGCAGCGGGGAGAGGTGCAGGAAGGGGTGCAGAGATTCCGTGCAAATGAACTAGCTACTACTACAACACGCAGCAGCAAGCGGACTCTTTCTTTGCCTTGAAAATTAAGTTTTCAGACTTATGATATCGCATTCGTGTCCTGAAAAACGTTTGTCTAGCTCTTGGAAATAAAGTACGTTTTCATAATAAGCAGAAGTTTCCTGTCCAGAAGTAATTTGGCGACCAGTGCCTCAGTCTTTAGACCCTTCGTCTGCTTCAGTCGCGCCATCGCTGGAATGAATCTCCAAGAATCACCTTAGTTTGGCTTGGCTGCTTTTCCCCTTGTCTTCTTCTTTCAGCGACCTCAAAAACGGACTTTCTTTTGCGGCGAACTGCTCCTGGATTCTTGTCGCCATTGCAACAAACTTTGTGTGAACTGCGAGGAAGATATAGGTCAAAAAAGCCGCTAAGAACTGTTGCGTTGGTGGAGTAAACAGCGTCTGTGCGTCTTGCGTCTGTGGACTGCGTGACAGGCGTACGTAAACCACGTACCGGCGGCGCAGGCAAGTCAGTTACGCTAGAAACGTAGGGAGTTTGATTGACAGCCTGTCAGCTCACAGATAACGAGGCAGTGTCGTTATCTATTGGCAAATGTTTAGCCCCACCACGTCCAGAGTTGATGAATTTTTATTCTCTTTTTTTGGTCATCATAATTACAAGGCTACTGCACCTCTATAATCTATCACTGACAATTTGAAACAAAAAAAATCCTCCATACAACCTTTAAGACCTGTATGGTTTGTTTAATGTCTTAACAGCTGCATGGTTCTTTTATTGTCTTAACAGCTGAATGGTTATTGTATTGTCTTAACAGCTGAATTGTTCTTTTAATGTCTTAACAGCTGCATGGTTCTTTTAATGTCTTAACAGCTGCATTGTTCTTTTATTGTCTTAACAGCTGAATGGTTCTTTATTGTCTTAACAGCTGAATGGTTCTTTTATTGTCTTAACAGCTGAATGGTTCTTTATTGTCTTAACAGCTGAATGGTTCATTTATTGTCTTAAAAGCTGCATTGTTCTTTTATTGTCTTAACAGCTGAATGGTTCTTTATTGTCTTAACAGCTGAATGGTTCTTTTATTGTCTTAACAGCTGCATGGTTATTTTATTGGCTTAACAGCTGCATGGTTCTTTATTGTCTTAACAGCTGAATTGTTCTTTTAATGTCTTAACAGCTGCATGGTTCTTTTAATGTCTTAACAGTGGAAAAGTTTTTTTAATGTCTTAACATCTGCATGGTTGGTTTCTTGCAGGTCTGGGGATGGAGAACATCGGCGGGATCTTCGTGGTCCTGATCTGTGGTCTGATCATCTCCGTGTTCGTGGCCATCATGGAGTTCGTGTGGTCCACGCGCCGCTCGGCCGAAACCGACGAGGTATCGTCTTTATGCTCCAGGCTCATACTGCCGTTTAAGACCAAGGAGAAGAAGGACGGTGGACAAGATTTTAAGGGACACATTCTAATCAAAAACACACCTAGAGATGTATTTCAATATTCCCTGTATTGTGATGTCACAGATAAAAATCCGGCGCAGTTATTAAGTCCATAAATCATCGCCAAAGCAAAGGTACTCAACAGCATGTTTGAAAGCCAAAAATATCCCAAAGTCTTTAGGTAATCTCCTGTCCTGTGTGTGTCAGGTGCCCTCCCTGTGTGTCAGATGCCCTCCCTGCATCTCCATGGGGTCTTATTCTGTGGAGAAGCTTCTAACCCTGTAGTTTCATCTGAAATGCATGAGATTCTTGGATTCTTGTAAAGTACCTCCATGAAGTTAGCCCCATCAAACACACACCTCCACAAAAACTGTCTGTCGTTTGTGCTCTGTTTGTGTTGCTTTACTTTTGGAGATATTAACGATTCTTTTATAGGTCAGGTCGGGGTCAGCAGCCCCCAGGAAGGTTCAAAATGCTCGAAAACAGCCCAAAATGGAGCCAATCATTTGTGCTTCGTTTGTGTTGCAAAAAGTTTGGTTTATGCAATTATGATTAAGATATTAACCTGGGCAGTGACATCATCAGCCCCTCAAAATGTGAAACAGCCTCAAAACAGCAGATAATTATACAAAATGTGTGTAGTTCATTTGTGCTGATTTGTGCAGTGACAATTTTCATTTGAATGTATTTCTAAAACTATTATAATTTTTGCGGAAATTATATGACGGAATTTAGACTCAGCTGATGGCAGCAAAATTGGTGAAGAGAAATGATCTCAGACTGTGTAAAAGTCTGTATGATATAAAACATGAATCAAAAACAAGTGGCTAAAAACTGATACAGACTTTTCCACAGCCTCAGGTCGTTTCTCTTCTTGAGTTTTGTGGAGTTATGTTAAAGCCGCTGCCATCAGCTGAGCGGAAATGACCTCTTATAATTTCATCAAAAATAATAATTCATAATTTTAGAAATATACTCGCCCAAATTATATTTTTCAGCACAAAATAGCACAAACGAAATACAAACATTTTGTATAATTTTCTGCTGTTTTGAGGCTGTTTAACATTTTGAGGGGCTGGATGACGTCATCAGCCCAAAATAAAACTGTTCATATTTTAAGAACCAGAATCACACAAACCAAACCTTTTGCAGCACAAAACAGCACAAACGAAGCTCAAACAGATGACGCATTTTGAAGCTTCCTGGGGGCTTGCTGACCCTTATTTGACCTGTAAAAGAATAATTAATATCTTAAAAACTAAAGCAGCACAAACAAAACCTTTTGCAGTACAAACGAAGCACAAACACACATAGTTTTTGTGTAGGTTTGCGTTTGATGGGAGCCAACTTCACACAGGTGTTTAAAGTTTGTATTTCAGTCTGTCTCAAATGCTCCTGGTTTAAACCCCCTTCCCCTCTCTCTTTCTCTCTTTCTTCTCTATCTTTCTTCTTCCCTCCCCCTCTTCTTTCTCTCCTCAGGTGTCCGTGTGTCAGGAGATGTTGACCGAGTTCAGAAATGCCGTCTCGTGCAAGAAGAGCTCCCGTTCTCGCCGCCGCCGTCACCTCGGGCACCTCGCCAGCTCCGGGGCCGGGATCCTGCGCGCTCCCTCCCGATTGGCTCTGGCCGGCCCCCGTCCAATCCGATTGGTCCGCGACATGCGCCTCAGCAACGGCAAACTCTACAGCGGCACGGGTACGCTGACCGGATCTGTGCCGCCCGACCTGGGCCCGGGACCTCAGAGACTACTGGACGAGGCGCTGGGGCTGAACTTGTCCACAGCTCCGCCCGCTTTAGCAGTAGCCCCGCCCACCGCTCTCATAGCCCCGCCCCCACCCCCTCCTCGCAGTTTCCTCCAGAGCTGTAGTCACGTCCGTATTTGCCAGGAGTGTAGAAGGATACAGAATCTACGGCCGGCGAATTTCACACCGCCTCTCCAGAGCTCCGCCATGACCTCGAGGATCACGCCCAACCCGCACCAAAACCCCCGCCTCCACTACCACTACCACCACGGGTCCATGTCGTTACCGCGGTTACCCCAGCACGCCCCTCCCATCGCGGCCGAGCGGGCGGACAGCGACGGGGGGACGGCCGGCAGCCCCAGACGAAGCAAATCCAAACCGTTACCTCCGCCTAGACCCGTGCCTCCGGCCAAATCGCCCACATCCACGGACCTCCTGGGGTCACATGACTGAGGGACAGGCTCCGATTGGCTGCGTGGTGTCATGTGACCAAAGGGTGGGGCTTGTGGCCGAGAGGGAACGGGAAATATTCAACAACAGCTGGAAAAACTGCAGTGACCGCCCAAATGTGAATTCAAGAAATAACAGAAGGAGACGCAAACTAAAGTCTGTACGATCCAGCAGCTCGGAGATGACAGGTTTGGGAATAGAATGAATGAAAACCGGACGCCTGAATGGTTTGTTATAGAGAGTATTCACAGAAAAACAAAATAAGGCAACAGAAACCAGGATGAATAAGCTCTTTTGTTTAAGGCACTATGCGGATTTCAGAAAAACTAGAAACTGAACAGCTGAATGATCAACCTACATTAGCCATGGCATTAAAAGTGTTTTGGAGTTTAAGAGGTATGTTGATATTCACAAAAGCTCAACCAAGCTTTTAGAAGTGTACAGCTGAACATTCCCAGTGTGGTACTCGAATAGAAGAAGGCCATTCAGCTGCTCTCAAAGGTGGCTTTTTTTGTCAGACTTTTTGACGACTGAGCTTCAAAAATAATGTGAAGGCTAGTGAGCCGGGCTAATGCACAAATGTAGTTTAATTCAGAAATGCAAGCGTGAAGCAAAGTGGCCCCGTAAAAGCCTGGACGCCTGAAAGGACACAATGGATACGCAGTTTGGCTTTTTGCGAACAGAAACCTGCAGTGAGAGGCAATGAAAGGCTCTAAACGGACAGCTGAAAGGTGTGGAAAAGACAGTGGTTGGTTTTGTAAGACTTTGAAACACACATTTAAGAAAAGCGAATGTGTATCGAACAGAGCTGCCACCCCGGGGATTAACATGACTGGAGTATGTGGGATTCTTGCAATATTTTTGTAATGACTGACAAAAACATTGCATCAGAAAGGAGCAGAAAGAATTATAAATGGGAATCTTTTGTCAAATGTTTTTGTCTAAGGCTTATGTTCTCATGACATTCAGATACAGAAAGGACTCACTTGTTTTTGGATGCTCTAAAGTGATGTATGTCGGCTCAGGAATAATGCACAGCTGTCTCTGCATACTAATGGAGTGAACTTAAGATTGAAAAGATTGAACTACAAGAAGAACATGGCGGTGTTTTGACCTGAACAAGCTTTAGTGCTGCTTTCCTCCCGGGAGAAATAATTTGAAGGAGCCATTTTAGCTTCAATGAACAGCCGAAAGGAGCGGGACTGTACAGATGGTTTGAGCCTCTTAAGAAGCGGTTGTGGGTCACCGGTGAACTGTATAACATGAGATGATTGGTTCAGGGAAAAGATTTTCAAATCTCAGAGGTCCGGTAAGGTTTAAGACCAACCTGCCGCAGATCCGTAAGAAGTCTGGGCTGCAATAACACTGTGAACTGCTGCAGGGTCTAGGGGGTGAACAGCTGCAGGCTCTGGGTTCTGCGTGCGCGTGGAGGTGCAGAGGTGCTATGCCTATCTATCTCTACGCCTCTGCCCGTCTCGGTCTGAACAGCTGAAAGGACACTGCTTCGGTCACTGCAGTCTTATAACCAAGATGTCCGCTCGTGACCATGTCTCTGTGAAACGTTTGGTCCGATTTTCAAAGATCTTTTTTTTTTTTGTTTTTCAGCAGATGTAAAGTTTGTACCCACATATCGATTTACGGACTGAGAAGAGCTGTATTTAACGAGCCGATTCGCGAACGGGAAGCGGGCGTCACGTTGGCCGGGTGTCGTCGGCCGGTCACCGCTCTCAGGGGAAGTAAAGAGGCGGGGTTTAGCTGAGGAAGGGGCGGGGCTTCTCAGCATCACTCCACCCTGTAGCTGCTGGCGTCACAAAAGAGTCACGTGACGCTCCTGGTGCTGCTCCTGTCCACCGACCTGACCAATGGACAAGCGTAAGTTACATTTTTTAGTTTAGTTTGAGTCGTCGTTTTCTAATCTGATCTAACGCGGGTTCCTCGTCACACACAGACCTGGAGTTGTGTTTTGTTTCATTCACACCGTTTAACACACAAACCCTGCACATTTAGTCTTCTCTCAAACGCAAAATTCCCTTCCACATTGTGATGTCATGCTGTAACACTAGTACATGAAGTGCTCCATTGTGTTCTTAAACCCCACCTCCACTCGGGTCATTTGGGTCATTTAAGCTCTCGCCAGTCTCTATTAAACAAAGATAAAAGAAGCTGTTAACCTCAAAACTGCCACGCCATGACATCACACTGTGGAACAGAGCTTTCTGAGCTTTGGAGATGTAGACTGTTTCTGATTCATCAGCTGGTTTCACTTTGTAGAAACCGTCTGACCTCGCAGTGTTAGAATGTGTTCGCTTGAAGGTAGGTGGATATTTTTTATCATTTAACCAATCGCTGCTGTTTGGTCGTGACATATGTAATGTGTCACTAACGGGGTTAATTAGTATATAAAGCTTTTCCCAAATCCCGTAGGAAGAAGAACAATAACGTCTTTCCCCTTGATAAAATTCACCAAACATTCTCTTTGTCTCTTTCGACTTTAAATCCTTGATATCAGGAATCGTTGGCAACACAGAATATCTGGCTGTTCGCTGATTGGCTGGTGCCTGAACTCACACTTCTGGGGTTTTTGTGGATTGTCTAGTGTATTCTGATTCCTGAACTAGTGTCTGGAGAGAAATGTGAGGTGAGGGCGTGAGGACCCCCTCAAAAACGAGATAGCAAGACATCTCATGGGGCTTATCCTCCAAATAAATACATTCTAAAAAAAAAAAGTGGAGACACTAGGTGGCACCAGCCTGACTAGTAGACTGTAACTGACGATGATGCCAGTTCATTTGTTTTCTTTGTAATAAGTCAGAAAATTATTATTTTATCAGTTCAAATGTTAAGATGTGTGAGAACATTCAGTCTCATTCATTTGCATATATTTTATTTGAAAAAAAATATATATATATCTTTGAGTCATGTGACCTTTTACCTTGACACTTAAGAGAGTGAGAAATAGTAGCCAAAAAAGAAGAGAAACACAGAAAAAGTGTAAAGAAAAGACGTCAAACTTAAGAGATGCTACTTCACTCCCGCTGATGTACAAGTGAACACAGTCAGCATGTTGTTTTGTATTCAGTGTTTATTTAAAGTTAATTTATGTAAAGCTGTGACATTTTCTCTGTGTCTGTGTTTTAGTTTTCAGTCTTCACTGTGTCGATGGAGTTGAGGATTAAAGAGAATAAATATTGATGCACATGATCATCAGGACGGAGCATGAAGTCCTTTTAAATCCAGGAGGAGCTCCACACACACACAGATAGTAAATAATAAGAGTCAATCACACACACACACACACACACACACACACATAACAAAATCAAACAAAACACAACTCCAGCTCTGTGTGTGTGACCAGGTCCAGCTCATTTTAAAAGAGTTTAAAGCCGACAAGAGCCACTTCCTTCTGCTTTTACTTTGAATTCATTCAGAGAGACGTTTGGCAGGGTTTAAGCCGGATGCCCTTCCTACTGCTTTAAACCAATACTGTGAAAGTGTCTTGCCCAGTGACACAACAACACCAAGTGCATCAGACCTGTTGCCTTCTGTTATTCCTTCGTGACCTTGAGGTGTCATTCACATAGTCATGGTCATGTACGGTGTTTTAAACCTGGTAATAGAAGCGGAGACCCTCTGGTCACGGGGCAGGAGGTGTGAGCGTGTGCTCCTCTCGTCAGGTCGGTGCAGGCTCCTGTCATGTCCACCCTTCTTCATGTTCTGAGCTTCACACAGGAAACAGGCGTCAGCTCAAGGCCCCACAGTGACACCTGGTGGCTCACGGTGGGCGTCCTCGCTGTTTTTGTTTGTTTGTTTGTTTGTTTTTTTAAGCCACCTATTTCCAGTGTCGGGGAGTAACAGATTACATGTACTGGAGTTACGTAATCAGAGTACAAAATATGAGTAACTGTATTCAGTTACAGTTACAGTTTCAGTGAGTGGTAATTGGATTACAGTTACTTTGTTAAAATAAATGGATTACACGGGGGTATTTTCCTGTTTTCACATTTTGGGCTATATCCTTTTTTTTTTTTTTTTTAAACCAGGTCTAAACTAGTTCTAAACTAGATCTAAACCAGGTCTAAACCAGGACTAAACCATCCTAGTCTTTGCTACTCTACAGTAAATCAAGTAATCCGAAGTATTCAGATTACGTTACTCACCTTAAATAACTTCATGGATTACGTTACAAAGTACATTTTGGGGTATGTAATCTGTAATCTGTAGGGGGATACATTTGAAAAGTCACCTTCCCAACACTGTGTATTTCTTATTTAAGAACATGATGCGTTCACGGTTCAGATTTCCCAAACTTTGCTGTGGTCATTATTAATCGAGGCAGTGTTTCCTTTTACTGGACACATTCAAATGAAATGTGACTTTATTGTGACATGTTACCGTTATATTTGACCGTTTACACTGATTAAAGTGAAATCCAAAATGAAAGAAAAGGATTGAAGAAAACATTTACTGAGTTTACACAGGAAACAGGAAACAGGTTCTACAGTTTGATAGTTCCTGGTTTGAGCTGCAGATCTACAGTCGCACCTGAATAACACAAGAACTTTTGACTGAAATGATGTAACATGGAACAGCTTCATTAGAGCTGATGTTGGAACAGATGTTGATTCACGTGTTTAGGTCAGGGAGGGGTCAGGGGGAAAGGTCAGAGGTCAGGGGAATATGTCAGAGGTCAGGGGTTAGGGAGATAGGGCAGTGGGAAAGGCTGGGGGTTGGGGAAGGTCAGGGGGATAGGTCAGAGTTCAGAGGTCAGGGGGATAAGTCAGAGGTCAGGGGGATAGGTCAGAGGTCAGATCGATAAATCAGAGGTCAGGGGGATAAGTCAGAGGTCAGGAGGATAGGTGAGAGGTCAGAGAGATAAGTCGGGGGGATAGGTCAGAGGTCAGGGGTTGGAAGATAAGTCAAAGGTCGGGGGATAGGTCAGAGGTCAGGGGGATAGGTCAGAGGTCAGGGGGATAGGTCAGAGGTCAGGGGGATAGGTCAGAGGTCAGGGGATAGGTCAGAGGTCAGGGGGATAGGTCAGAGGTCAGGGGGATAAGGTCAGGGGCAAAAATAGAATCTGAATTGTCATCTTTGCTTTTGAATTCTTCTTAGAACCTGGTGAACCTGGTTTTTCTCTTTATATTTTTTTTTTCTTCTTTTTAAATTGAGGAAGACTGTGAAGCTCAGAGCCTGAAGACCCCCTACACCTCTCTTCTCTCTCTCCCTCTTCTCTCTCTCCCTCTGTTTGTCTCTCTCTTCTCTCTCTCCCTCTTCTCTCTCTCCCTCTGTTTGTCTCTCTCTTCTCTCTCTCCCTCTGTTTGCCTCTCTCTTCTCTCTCTCGTTTGTCTCTTTCTTCTCTCTCTCTCTGTTCTTTCTTCCTCTCTCTCCCTCTGTTTGTCTCTCTCTTCTCTCTCTCCCTCTGTTTGTCTCTTTCTTCTCTCTCTCCCTCTGTTTGTCTTTTCTTTCTCTCCCTCTGTCTCTTTCTTCTCTCTCTCTGTTTGTCTCTTCTTCTCTCTCTCTCCCTCTGTTTGTCTCTCTCTTCTCTCTCTCCCTCTGTTTGTCTCTCTCTTCTCTCTCTCCCTCTGTTTGTCTCTTTCTTCTCTCTCTCCCTCTGTTTGTCTCTTTCTTCTCTCTCTCCCTCTGTTTGTCTCTCTCTTCTCTCTCTCCCTCTGTTTGTCTCTTTCTTCTCTCTCTCCCTCTGTTTGTCTCTTTCTTCTCTCCTCTGTTTGTCCCTCTCTCTCTCTGTTTGTCTCTCTCTTCTCTCTCTCCCTCTGTTTGTCTCTTTCTTCTCTCTCCCTCTGTTTGTCTCTTTCTTCTCTCTCCCTCTGTTTGTCTCTTTCTTCTCTCTCTCCCTCTGTTTGTCTCTTTCTTCTCTCTCCCTCTGTTTGTCTCTCTCTTCTCTCTCTCCCTCTGTTTGTCTCTTTCTTCTCTCTCCTTCTGTTTGTCTCTTTCTTCTCTCTCCCTCTGTTTGTCTCTTTCTTCTCTCTCCCTCCCTCGATCTGTCCGCCCTCCTCCTCTCTCTGTTTGTCTTTTACACATAAATATCATTCATATTTTTATACATCTCTCTTGTTTCCTATTTTGTCCATTTCCTCTTCAGAGAAGCTCCGCCCCTGAACAGACATTATTATTATTATTATTATTATTATTATTATTGGGTTTTGATGATTGCAGTGTGTGGCTGTAGGGGGCG